ATGAAGCAAGCTGTGTTGCTAGGCGGCTGCTGACATCATTTGGATAACATATGGGAAGCCGACGTGGGTGGGACTATTCTGTGACAGTGGAGAATGCAGCTCTCAGGCAGGACAGTTACACTCAATTTACGTCAGTTAGGTCCTCCCCAAAGTACTTGCCTGCTTTTTATCTCTCCCCAAAATCATTCACATACCAAGCCTAGGTCTTATAATTTCCCTAGCTCTTCTCAAAATCAACTGCTTTAAACAGTGGATGTGATTAGGAAAATATAGCCAGGGGCAAATTAGCTGCAAGTGAAGACAGTCCTAGCCTCTGAGATAGGACTTTTTCTGAAGTGCAAGGTACCTTGAAATACTGATGCAAACCCTGGGTTTGGCTGGTCCACACTGTGTCAAAAAGGATAACTATTTAACCACATACTAGGTGTTCCTTGGGTGTGTATCACACTGGATGACAAAGGCCTACTCTTTTCTTTCCAGTGCCAGACTGTAAACACCCTTGTAGGCCCAACATCTAGAAAAATGCCTTTTTGGCCCCATGATAAATCTTAATTGTTGCTGTCAAACACTACGTGCTTCACACGGATTACTTCATTTCTTAAAACCCTATGGAATTATTGTTATCCCCAATGTGTAAGTGAAGAAATGGAGTTTCTTAACCTTTCTCACTCAATGTGAGGGAGCAAGTTAAGTGGTGGAACTAGTGTTTAACTGCAGCTGGTCAAATTCCAGAAACTGCTCTTTACCCCTGTACCCAATCACCTCTGTCCTCATTCCAATTATATTTCCTTATGCTTCTCCACTTACTTTGATCTCACTGTGGATCATCTCATCCTGATTGTCAAGCATTTTTGCTGGCTACATGTGACTCTTTGTACTTATGTGTTGCCCACAGCAATACCTTCTGTAGTTTGAAGACTACATTTATATAGTGCCGGATTTATGTCTCAATTATGCTTTTTAAAAAAAAAAAAGATTTTATTTATACAAGAACTGGGGTACAGGTCAGAGGCACAGGAGGGTAAGAGAATTCACCAGAGACAGAAAAGGGAACAGAACAGGCAGACAGACCAAAGACACTGCTGAGGGGAGCAGTGGGCGAGGCAGGAGAGGTCTGCTGTACCATGTGGGGATCTCCCTGGCCGTCTGGGAATGGGACCCACGCTGCAGGGGCTGCGGACAGCTTTACAGTGCTGTGCTCAACCCGCTGCATAATTGAGGGGAGGCCCTCAATTATGCTCTTCATAAAACATCTCCTAGTGCCACTGTCAGACTGGATACTAGTCTGAATGGACCACTGGGCAGATCCTTTATGCTCTTGTGTTCTTAATAACAATTGTCTGTTGCCTAAAGTAATTGAGACCTTTCGTTATTAGCATAGAGGAAAAAACACTGACTAGGCAGGGCTCATGCTACTGTTAGAGGCCTCAGGAACCAGTCCCCATAAAGTCAGGCCGAAACTGGGCTTTTAATTTAGGTGTTCAAGTCCCATATGGTTTTAAAAAATATGTAAACTGTACATACAAGACTATTACGTGCCTCTGGAGGTGAATAAATAGAATCACTCATGCACAGCCACCACCCTGCTCAATGGAACAGTATCTATTCTCCATGTACCCTCCCCACTGCATCCTTCTAGCCTTCCCCTGTGATGTTAATATGCTTTTCTTTATACAAAGAGCGCTTAAGAGTGACCATTTTTTGGTAAACAAGTCACATGCGATTCCTGAGCACTTTGTTATGAAAGGCACTAGCCGAGAATGGATATTCAAACTTGGGGGTATTTTGAGGCTTCATTTTCCACTCGAACTGTTTTCAGCAAACTGTTTGTGATTCTAATTCACAACTATGGGAGTGCAAAAGTGTACTGGGAATAGATGTGTCTCTACATTGTGGTCAATATGCAAAATTAATTTTGGCCATGGTTGAGGCCATGTGTTTTTAATGGCAAAGGCTGTCAGAATGTTAAGTTGAGCAGGTGGTGCCACGTTGAAAAGCAGGATTCAAACTGCAGGAGGGATATTAAGCCAGAACTGGGGAAAGCTGATTTCCTCCAACATACAAAACCTTGTTCTGTAACTGTGTGAGAATTTGGACTTGGCAGTATATATTCTACTTGAACACTCTGAATCCCAGTGTGGCACCTCCTGAAGCATTTCTTAGAGACCCACAAGTTCTTGTATGAAAAAGTGCCTCAGACACAAAAAACCGAGAACTCTTTCTTCAGCCAACTTATTTCTTAATGGCGTAACAAGTCTTCCTCATTCATTCCCTGCCACTAAGGAACCCTATGAAGTAACTTCACTGTCCCCTTCCTCCATCATCATTGTCAGTTAGAAACATGTCAGCCCAGGGCTGGAGGAAATAAAATGCAATTCTACTATAGATTGGGTAATGTTTGTATGCAGTAGCTAAGAGGCCCAAAATAGTGGATATAATTTGGGGGGCTACTCAATTTGTGAGAGTATTGAGAAATATCTTGAAGCTTTAAAAAAAAAATTGCTTTCAGGACTGAGGGTTGGGTTGGGGGGAAGACATAACCGCGGCCATAAGGCAGAAACCTTTGAAAAGATTCCCAGAAGAGTAGGAAAGTTTATTTCTATTTTTTTCTCTATCTAGATTCTCTAACCTAAGAAAGGCTTGGCTTCCTGTTTAAGGATTAGAATGTGCTCTTTTTGGGATTTGAGGAAGGCAACATAGCTACAATTAAGTGAGTTATTTTCCTTCACCTTTATAAGATGCAATATAAATAATACTTGGGAATCAAAGGTTAACATCTATGCTACGGTGTATTTTTTATACCAGGAAATAAACAGAAAATCTTGTCATATTCTTGTTTTTCATAATTAGAATAACTATATAACTTGTCTTTAAAACTAGGACTTGCAGGGTGAGTGCTAGTAATAATTATGCCTTGACAGCATAAATCAGGCAAGCTAGGATGTATGGCCACTTATAACGCAGTCTTAATGTTTAATAAACATCACATAATATAACTTTTAGCCCTCAAATTTGACAATCCAATAAAACAAAAAGGAACATTAATAGAGATATATTAGATATATATTCGTTTGGTTATGCTACTATACCAAGTAGATCCCTTTAGCTGGAGGGAAGGAAAAATGTTCTATTTTTTTCCTTCCTGGTACTCTGGTCTTTGTGCATTATCTGTTTTACAAGATAAGGTAAATGAGCACAGGAAGCCAGTCATCTGCACCAAATTACACTGCAGAGCTGAGCTCAAAGCTAAAAATTCTGCTCCCTGAATCTCCAGCAGTTGTGTTACCAACTAAACCCTGAAGGGCTGGCTGCCTTCTAGAATTTGATCTGATTTCTATTTCAGATTCACCAAGGGAGGAGGCTTATTACCACCTTTCAGATAAGAAACCTTGTGAAGTTTGTAAAGAGGCTTTTCCTAGTTAACTTTAATCTTCTTCATGCCCCTTTTCTAAAAATCCAAAATACCAGCCCTGATCATTAGTCATGTAGTTAGGTCCTTTTTGTAAAGATTTCTTTAGGTTTTCAAGAAGAGATCCAGGTATTCATTAAGTTAGCACTTGGAATTTTTGTGTGCTGCAGTAACTAAGCAACAGTTGAGATGTTTTAATTTAGCATGTCCTGTATTGGCAAGTTTAAAAAAAGAACTGTCGAGCCACACTTGGCAGAACCTCCCTTGGGCCTTCCCACCCCCGCTACAGTTCCTGTACATCTTGGCTGCCCCTCACTGCTAACAGAGACCTCTTCTGTACTGGCCACTGACAGCCTCGTCTGAGTCTCTTTCCTGCTACAGGGCAGTATCTTCAACTATCAGCAGAACTGGAACTAGTGGTTTGATTATCCACCTTTTACAACAATTCTCATTTCCGTATTTTAAACCTACTCCAAACTAGTGATTTAAAAACTGCTTATACATCAAATTAGAAGGACATGCATTTCAAACAAATCGCTTTTTAAAATGAATAGCCAATAAAATTCTTACTCAATGACATAAAATATGTGAACGGTCTGCTAGGAAACATTTAATTGTTAGATGAATTTGACTCTCCAGTTACACCGTTTTGGAAGCAGAAATCCATCACAAAGGCAACCATAAAAGGCATGTGTAACACAGAAATGTCCTCAGGAAAGCAGCTTTCTGTAGTCCAATGGTTTAGAGCCCTCTCTCTTTCAAGAATCACCCTAGGATTCTCATCTAGGAACTGTGATTTTTATAACCTCTAAGCCTTAGTTTCATCATCTTCAAACTGGGAATAAGAACTGTCATTTCCTTGTAGGTTTGTTGAAACTTAGTTGAGATACCATGTGTAAACTGTTTGGTAGTGATAACTAGCCTTATTTCTCGCTTAGAAACAGAATCTCAAAGGCAGGGGTATTATGTTGGTTGAATGAGTTAAAGTAGTCACAGTGTTCCTAACAGCTATCATTATTAGCTCCCAGGAAATGAGGGTCTACTACATGAAACTCAGATTAACTTGACCTCTTCAATTAAAGTTAACCAGTTATTTTAGTTTTCCGATATATAGCTTTGGAACCTACTGAGTAGTCTCTTACAAGGACAAGTCAGGCTGTCTTATGGAAAAGGTAAAGGTCTAGACAGGTGCTAAGGAACTACATAAAAAGTAGACTAGATATCCTGAGCAAAATATAATCTAGGGACACACCCTAAGTCTTATTAACAGAAGAACTGGCTCCATCATTTATGTAGAATGACCTTCGGAATTTACTTAACCTCTTTATTATTATTATTATTTTTTAATAGAGGCATGTTATTTATTTGTTTGTTTTTACAAGCACTGGGTACAGTCAGAAGCACAGGAGGGTGAGAGAATTCACCAGAGCCAGAGCGGGGAGCAGAGCAGGCAGGACCGAAGTACACTGCAGAGGGGAGCAGCGGGCGGCAGGAGAGGTCTGCGCACCATGTGGGACCCTCCTCTGGTGGCCGGGGAGCAGCCGGGGATCGAACTGGCGCCGCAGAGGCCGCGGGCAGCTTCGCAACCCAGTGCTCAACCGCTGCGCCACCGGGGAGGCCCAACCTCCTTATTATTTTTTTTAAAGATTTATTAATTTATGCATACAAGAGCTGGGGTACAGGCCAGAGGTATGGGGGTGGTGAGAGAATTCACCAGAGACAGAGTGGGGAACAGAACAGGCAGACTGACCTAAGAACACTGCTGAGGGGAGCAGTGGGCGAGGCAGGAAAGATGTGGGTTGCTCCCTGGACTTACCTCCTTAAAAAGGATTTCATACGCCTAAAAGAAGCTGTCTTATTAATCTACCAACCTAATCTTTAAGAAATGGTGGTTTAAAAGATCATTTAAAACAAGTGAGGCCTAACATAAAATGCGACCATAGCAAATTAACAAAATGCCAAATTCCCTCTTAGATTGACAGTAATGCTTTAAGCATGACTTAGAATTCTAGGTAACCCGAGATTCTATTTTACTTGTGGATCCATGATTATGAGTTCAGCAAACCTCGACTAGAAGACATGGTCATCTATGATAATTTTTAAAGCTTAAAAGTAACTTTTCTTTGTTCTCCCAAACAATTCACTTAATGATTATGAAGTAAATTGTGTCCAAATTCCTATGTTGAACCCTTACCCTCAGAATATGGTATTTGGAGATTAGACCTTTGAGGTAATTAGGTTTAGATGAGGCCATGACTGGGTTAGTGCCCTCATGAACAACAGAGAACTTGCTTCCTTCCTCTACACTGTGTGAGGACACACCAAGATCTGGAAGTCAGGAATAGTCATTACTGGGAAACTGAATGGACCAGCAGTTAGATTCAGAATTCCCCAGCTAAGTCTAAGTCATCCAGTCTGGTATTTTGCTATGGCAGCCCCAGCTGACTTTAACAGTAAGTAAATTTAGGATTCTATTTTGCCTTCCCTATCTGTAGCAATGGGACAGATACTAAGTTTTAGTATGGTGGTTAAAAAAATAAAAGACCTGCTTGGGAAGCAGAGTGCCCAGACATGGAAATTTCATTAAGCAATGTTACTTCATGATGGGAGAAATAATTCTCTGCTCCAGAATGGTCTTATATTTTACCTATTTTTAGTTTCATTTTAGGTGGGTAGTTTTAGGGGCTATGAAACCAGACATCAAACACAAAAAAACTTAGAGTTGAGTTTTATCCAATTATAAGCCAAAAAGCAGAAATTTCTTTCAAAAATAGAATATACTGAAAATTACTCATTCATCATAGCTCCACACACACTGGGGTTTCAAGAAATGCTAGTATAACTCCCTATGGAAAGGAAATGGCAAACCATACCAAGTTTAATAACATGACCCTCACTAATGAATAACAATTACGTTGAGTAAATCTAGCTTTCACAAAAGAGAGGGTGGTGGCAGCAAGGGCAGAGAGGGTTGCCCTCTATATAACTTCATGTATACAGACAACCTGGTTACAAAGAATAACAGCCTTGAAGGGAATAGAGGAAATCCTCACAAAGGACCCTGGGTTGCTGAAAGGAGGTCTGTGGAGAAGGGGCTGTTTCCAGGCAGCTACTTAAATTGGGAAAGCAGGTTATAGAGAGAAGGGCATCTTTGGTCCTTTTTTTCTTTCTTTATGACAACAAATTTGTGGTAAACTAGGGTCAAGACTTGCTCGGAGAAGCCTAACATTGGGCCTAGAGAATAAAATACATGGAAAACCAATGAAACCATGAAAATACATTTTTAAAAAGTTTTCAGGTGTAATACACAGAAGCAAACAACTTTTATCTTTAAAAATATTGAGTATCACATCCATAGGCTATTCCTAATTATAATTACTTCTTAAAGCAATATTTGTCTTTGTTTACAAATACAGCAGCAGGTGATAAAACCCAACATCTCAGATTGCTTATAGTTCATAATACAAACAAATGTATATGTCTTAAATCACATTTTAGGCAGTTTAACTTAAAATGCATAGACAATTACATACATTAGTCATTATTAAGTCAATGAAAAATATCACAATACCAAGGAAAAAAATGCAAAATACTTTTATAGAGCACACATAAAAGTCAAGTTTACTTAATGGCAACAAATCAGTATCTGCTAAACAGTGACAGGCAGTAAAAGTGCCCTTACCCAGGGGAAAAGTAGAGGAAAAACATCCATTGCTTTGCAGACTTGAATTGTTGCACTGACAAACACTACAATATTGAAAAACATTAATTTAGGTAGACCATACTTTGCCCTTTAAATACCCAAAGCTGGTCTGTAACTTCTACCAGCAGCAATACTAGGTAAACTAATAATGAATTCTGCAATGCCACCCCAGGAGGCGGGATTCTCCAGGACAGGCCTTCACTCTCATCTTTGTCTCTCTGGCACCCAGCAAAGTACCTGGATCAGGACGTGTGTTGGTGAAATGAATGCCTTCCTCATACGTTTTCTATAGCCAGAAGCGTGCATGGCACTTCTTTAATACTACTTTATTGGCAATTTTTGTTTTACTTGGCAGAATTCTGGAAATGAATATTGTCTGTCTTCAACACTAAGTATTGCTTATTAAGTTTAAATTGTCTCCTTCCCAGAAAGCCTCCCACCACTTTCTATGCACAGAACAGTGTTATCAGTGATTCATCTGAATTTAGCCTATGGTTTTCAAAAACTTTAATATTCGAAGGTCTGTACTTAGGTTTAATGTCCAGGGTTTATAACCCTCCCATTTTATAAAATTAGAACTAGATTATTCACAGTGAGGAAGGAAGACATTGGCACTAATCATATACAAGTGTCGGCAACTGATTTTTATGCAAACTGGGCACAGTATTTTAATGGAAACTTTGCGTAGCGTTATTTTCATCTACACAAAAAGTTTTAAAAGCTGTGCATTTGAGTACAATAGGTAGCATTAATTATTTGTGAGGTAAAATATGATGGGCAAAACTGACTTCTTTCCTAAAAAACATTCCAATAGTCCATTGCAGTGGTGTGACCAACCAAAGCCAAAAATTCACCTCTTTTTCTCTGCCCTATTATTTTCTCCTGAAAACAAAAAACAGTAAAACTGATATAAAAGGAAGCAGGCCCTTGGATAATTAAACTATGTACTGTCTAGTCCTGAATAACTAACACATTATGTACACAAACAGTGCTGTGAGGTAAGAGATAGAAACAGCCATCTTCAAAAGCATGAAAAGGTATCAGACTGAGTCCAGATAGACCAGCCAAAGTATTTTAAGCACTTCTTAAAAGGACACGATTCTTGAGAACTGAGTGTGTGAATGAGGACCTAAGGTCTTTATTTTAGTTTTTCATGGTTTCCTGGTTCAACATTTCAAAATCTAAGAGCCTATACCATAAACACTACTTCTCAACACATCTCAACTATCTCCATCAATTTTATTTTAAAATTCTTGCCCTTAAAGTCCAAGTGCCAACATATTCCAGACATTGCATGCCCTTAAAACCCAACAGGCTCCCTAACAATGTCTTCCATAAACCAATCTCAGCTTAGCGTGACTTGTTTTGAAAGCAACATTTCCTCATAAGGAGAAAATAACCTTTCTCGATGTTTCCCCTAGGCCTCCAGTGAAACAATTTCTACATTTCTTAGCTCCACTCTGAAACTAAAATGCTTTTTTGACCTAGCATACAAAGAACTGAGACTCCCTTCACCTCTAATTTATTTCAGAAATGGTACCCTAGAGAATGAAAAAGAAAATAAAGGCAAATTCTATTTCCCCTCAGTTTCCAGTCTTACATTTAAAAAAAAAAAAAAAATCCCAACTATAAAATGAAAAATCCTTGAGAAGCAAAGAAAAGTGAAGGTTAGAAAGACAGCATCATCCAGGGCATGCTGAGGAGTAAGTGTCACTTCACAGTCAATAAACTTACTGGGAGAAATAATTCCAAGCCATATGTCCTTTGGCAAAAGATTTTCTCTGAAAATCAATGGACTCCAGAATTAGATTCCTAAACTTGCTAACTCTCCTTTCGTTAAACATTATCTTCTGTAGTGTCATAACACATTTAAAGCCAGAGTAGTTAACTTATCCCAAAAAAGGACAACTGAAATAACCATAAGGAGAGAGATCTTTGCTGCCATCACTTTTCCTATCATATTAACCCTTAGAGAAAGCTGGTGTTTTGATACTGACTGGTAATTTAAACTACGATACCTTAAGGCTACCTGCCTTTTAAACTAGAGGCTGCTTTGATGATAAATTCCAAGAAAACTGTAGAGGGCTGCCACTTATCCTTGGCAAGGAAATGAAAGAAAAAAAAAGGACCACTTGTGCCAACACGTAAGAGGTGTCTAACTACATCACCCAGTCTGAAATATCTAAACAAATTAGTTTCAATTCTGAAAATTTGAATTTTTTATCTATTTAAAAGGGAAGCTTAAAAACAAGGTTCTTCTCAAGGGTGACCATCTTGCTTTCTTAAAAGGAGGTAGCTATCAAACCATTAAGTTGGTGGCATTTGGCATTGACATTTTAACTCTAAGAAAAATAAACCACTACATCTTTTATTTCTCTGCAAAAACAAGAGCTCTAGGATAAATCTCTCTCATACTGGTCAAGAAATTAGTAATATATTTTATAACCCAAATGCATACATTCAAAGTTAAATGTTATTTAACAAATAACATGGTTAATTCTATCCCAAACCTAAAAGTCTGATTTAAAGAGAAGGGGCAAAGAAGCTCCTTGGGCTATTTTGGAGGTTACAAACAATCCTGAATTAAGTAATAGTCACATTGCTTTAAACTCAGCTGCAGAAATCTACACTACTGTTTTCAGTGTTAGAGAGTACTTTTTAAGGAGGCACTCAATTCTATTTATTTACCTGTCAACAAACAGAACTGAAGTGTTAGCCATAAGCACTTTACGCACAGACCCAGGAAACTATGAAGGAGACAATGACACAGCTTGACCAGACTGTGATGCATACTTTGATGGCACTTGTACAAAGAGAGCAGTCATGGCTGTATGACTAAGGTTCTCCAAACAGAACTGCTACATGTGTTACGACAGACTCCCAGAGTGTGCCAGTTTTCAGAACCAGGAGAGAAATTAGGGATGTATTTCTTCTAAAGAAGGAAGGAGCAGGCTACAGGGAATGGTCTGGGTAGTGTTTTGTGGGAATGCAAATTACTTGTCACTATGAAGCAATTCCCAGGGTTTCCTCTAATTTGAGGTTCAAGACAAAGAAGAGAATTCCTTCTCTGAGCTCCTCCAAAGCAATATGGACATCTCGTAATCCGTTTGAAAGCAATCTCTAAGAATATCATTCACATACTTGTTGGCCTGCATTAAAAAACAAAACATTATTTTCCGTAAATGGCAGATTCTAGAGCTGTATGACCCATCCTGCTAAATATAAAACAAATTAGGTAGAACTCAAAAAAAAACCACAAAAGGTTTTTGTACAAAGAAAAAAATGAACACTGCCTGGGCTAATGAAGGTATCATCTGACAATAATCACCAAGAATTTAAAAATGTATACTCAAAATATAACCTCAAGAGAACCAGGTTTATTTATCCTAAGTTAAAGCAGCTCAAGATGTTGAGAGGCATCATTTGTTTAAATTATGACAATATGATTGTTTTCAAGTGTTTATTTAGGGAACAGTGATTATAGAAAAATACTTCAAATAATTTCCCAATCAAGTTGTAGATTTTAACAATAATCCACATCACCTTAGATTTTTAAGTGTGTAACTTCATAATTTAAACAAGTCAAATAATTGTTTTAAACAAATTGTATCAAAGAGCTATTCAATATACTTAATCACTTTAACTTCATAAAAACCAATGAAAAATTACATGTGAATGATTTACTTTTACATTTTTAACTGACTGTATCCATCTGATGTACTATGCATCCAAGTACAAGAGGCAGATATCTTCTCTGAGAAGTGCAAGGTTGTTCTTTCATGAATGCCCTCTAATAGTGAAACCAGCAATTTTTATATATGCACTCATATGCATATATATGTACTTCAAAAAGCAAAGCGTCATCTCTTCATCCACTGTTAACTTAATGGTAAGACTGCAATAGAAAAAAGAAAAAGTAAACGCCTAGATTTTGTAAATCGAGTTTATTAAATCCTTACTGTGGCTTAAAAGAAATTTATTGCTTAGTAAATCCAAACAGCAAGTCATGTCAATTATTTTGACACATGATCTGCAAAAATAATTTGAGTATGTAGTAAGGAGGCACACAATTGAAAGGAAGTTTTAGGGCACTTTAAGATTTTTTTCCTTTACAGCTGATGTGGATATTTGATTAATCTAGGTGATATGATTAGTTATCTCGTTAAGCATAAATATATATTTTTTCTCCCTCATGGAGAATCTTGGCTCTGTATTTAACTACTCACGTGGCTTTTACTTCATGGGGGAAAAGGAACTTTCTATTTGGTCATATGCCCAAGACAAGCTCCTCAACTATATCAACCCTACTCTGGCTTGTCTGACAGGAAAAGTACAAAGCATTATGTGTAACTGATAATGCAAAAACAGTGGTGTATTCTTGAGCTCAGTGCTGCTAATGATTTTAACAAAACCTTAGCTGAGAAACATTACGTAGCTGCATGAAAGGTGGATAATTTTATACTCACTGCCTTGGATTCTCTGAAAATCCACCTGCATACCAAGCCAGACAGAAGCAGAAATTGCTTTTATTAAAATGTGCTTTGGTATGATGCTACAAAATATTATTGAGAAACGTTTAAAAAAAAAGAAAAAACTCCAGTGAAATGCATCTTTGAGTTTATCTCAACAAGTTAACATTGAGGATACTGGCTTACTACATTACAATATCTTTGGGAAATTATTCTATTTCCTGGTATCTAACATACCAGGAATAACTAACTTGTGTTTTCCATAACTCAAAAATGCTTTACCTGAAATTTGAAATTTACATACCTTTTAAAATTTTAAAAACTTTAAGAACTTTCTAATCTTCCAACCAAAAATGGAGACAAATAATCTCTACATTGCACTGAAGCAACTGTTAGTGCATGTTAAATAAGAAATTAAAGACTTACATGGGGGCCGCCAGGCATCGGTGGAGCACCAGAAGGTCCTGAAGGCACTTGGAAAGGATTATTTGGAGTGGGATAGAGTCCTGGTGTGGGATATGATCCTGCGGGCCCAGGATATGGTGCTGGTGGTCCCCAGGCTCCTGGAGGAACAGTGCCCCATGGAACAGGTGGTGCTGTCCCTGGTGCCTGGGGAGGAGGAGCAGGATATGGCCCTGGAGATGGATATGGCATATTAGGGGTAGGGTACTGCCCTCCCATTCCTGGTGCCCATGGTCCAGAAGACATTGATCCCCACGGACCTAAAGGACCAGCTGCAGATGGATCTGTGGGTGCACCATATGGTCTTGGAAGCTCTGGAAAGGGCATATTTGGTGTAGGATATGGCCCTGCAGGGCCAGGGCCTGGCACAGCTGGGGCTGGATAAGGACCACCGGGTGGGGGGCATGATGGTCCAGAAGGAGGAAAGGGTGCTGGGGGTCCTGGAGGTGGTCCGGTGGGAGGCACAGAGGGATACATTCCTGTTGGTGCTGGTCCAAAAGGCACAGTGGAGGGTGTTGCACTTGGTGGGAGTCCAGATGGCACAGAAGGTGGAGCACTTGGGTTATTCCAAGGGTTGGAACCTGGCCAGCCTTGAGGAGGTTGGCCAGGTTTTGTATTGCTCACAGCAGAGGTTTTGGCAGGGGAGTGGTCAGGTAGCGCATCTGCCAACTGGAATAAAAAACAGGTCTGTTTTATCAGTCTTACTCAGGGACAACTCATACCAAATAGGATTATAAACCCATAAAGGATAGTAAGCTATAGGGTCAGGGTTTGTAAACCTCTATTAACATCTGCAAAAGGTAAACTGCTGGATTCAAAAACATTTAATGAAAAGCTTGAGGGGTTAGTTTGACAATCTACTGTACAACTATAAATTCCAACAAGAAGCTTCAGTTTTCTAAATACAACCAATGAACATCTTGTGGATTTGAATCCTGGCAAACATGTTACATAATCCTCTTTGAGTTTCAGTTTCCTCATTTTCCAATAAAAGGCTAGGGTTAACTTAAGGTTTAAATGAGATGATTCATGCAATGCTCTTAGAGTGCATGGTATGTGACTACCAACTAACATTGGCTAGAAGAGAAGAATAGAAAAAACACTAAAATTTTTTACTTCACAATTTAAAAAACAGTGCTCCTGGATTTATTTTTAAATGCTGTATCTAAGTATAAATTAAGGCAAATCATCTATCAAAATCACACTGCATGCTCCCACCCCCACAAAAAAATCCTCTTAAGAATCACAAAAAGTATCTCCTTTAAAGATTTATGGCATAAAGTTAGGACTATATTGCTTTTCTTAAAACTCAGAAACTTATGAAGAAAAAATGTATTGACTTACTGAAAATTCTTCAGACATTTTCCTAAAAAAAAAAAAAAAAAAAAAAAAAAGAATATTTAAAAACCAGTTTTTACCAGTGTTAACCATCCCTTAAATATCCTCCTATGCACACATCTCTACATCTCTTAAACAGAATCTTAATCTTAACCATTCATGTGATGTTTTTCTTTCCATAATGGTTTATACAGCTTATCAAGTGATTCATAATTTAGCTTGATGTTGGTGGCAGCTTTACTTGCTTGTATTTTTGGTTGTTTTAAATAATGATACAGTGAATATCTCTGAACATGTATCTTTGCTCACATGTGAGTATCACCAGGAAATTACAGTCAACAGGTAATGTCATCTAAAGCCCATCTGAAATGTCCTTAACATTTATACTCTTTATCCTTTAAATCTTCTTCAACCACTGGATATTATTAAATTTATAAATTGTTTTCAATTACTATAGATTAAAAATAGGCATCTTGTTTTTACTTACAATAGGTGTAAAGTTGAGCATTTTTTAAATTTAACACATTTATATCTTTTTCTCTGAATTTGCTCATGTTCTTGCACCACTTTGATCAGTTTTTAAAACTGAAGTATAATTAATGCTCAGTAAAATGCACAGATAAATTTTATGAAGTCAATTTATCAATCTTTCGCCTATAAGTGGCTTCTGGATTTTGCTACATTTACAAAATCCTTCTACATTCCAAGATTAAAGAAAAAAACCACCTGTATTTTCCTATAGTAATTTTATGCTTTAACTTGTTTAAAATCTTTCTGTTCTTCCAAACAATAAAGCTGAATAATGTATCATTTCTCAACTTATTTGGCAAGCTACCTTGAATACATTCCACTGAAACTATTAACAAATACTTACTGAAACATCTATCAATTTACAGGCACCACGATAAATACCAAGTGCTTTAGGTGCATAGTCTCATTTAAATACCTCAGAGCTCTAATGACAGCAATTTGTTTTATCACTCCTTGTTTACAGCTGGAATACAGGTGGCATGTTGAGGTCATAGAACTAGTGACAAGTACAGAAGAGGTTCAAGAGTCAAGGCTTTTAATCACTAGGCTACTATGACTCCATCATCTCCCACAGTATTGTACTGATTTGCCCTGTGATATTCCTTCTTAATAGTGGTAGCTTTATCTTTCAAACAAATTTTAATGTCAGTTCACTTTCTATCATTGTTGCTTTTTTCACGCGTTCCTCCATATTTTTTCCAGATCACTTTGTACTAAAATGCTGCTGCTTTAAATTTACAGATTAATTTAAGGGCCATGTACTTTTGAAACATCAAATCTTGTCATTTAAGAACAAGGCATATCTTAGTTCCCATGACTATCATTTATTATCACTCATCAACTTTTTAAAAGTGAGGTCCCCTACACATTTCTTGTGAAATAGATTTATAACTAGTAAATTTTTTCTTGAGGTTGTAAATTTTTTGACATTTCCTATTTGCTTGTTGATATATAGGTAAGGTTTTTTAAAGTTTTAGTCTACTTTTGTAAGTAACATCACTGAATACTTTTATTTTTGAAAGCTTCTCAGTGATTCCCTGAGATTTCCAACTTATGACATTTTATAAAAAGAATTATGCCATTTACAAAAAATAATTTTACTTTGCCTTTCCAATATTTACACCTCTTTTCTCTTTTGCATTAGCTGTGACTTAAACAACAATGAAATGTTACATCGTAAGAGTGAGCACAGTAGTCATGTTCCTAATCTCCAGGGAATGCGTGCAATGTTTGTCTAATTATTTTTAGTTTGAGATCAGAAAAAAAACTATACTAAGGACATTTCTATTTATGCCCATGTTGTTATCTTTATTCCTATTTTGCTAGTCAAAAAAAATCAGAGTAAATTTCTTTTTTTAAAAAAGATTTATTTATTTATTTATTTATTTATTTATTTATACAAGAACCGGAGTACAGGCCAGATGCGCAGGAGGGTGGGAGGATTCATCAGAGACAGAGCAGGGAACAGAACAGGCAGACTGACGAAATACACTGCTGAGGGGAGCAGCGGGCATGACAGGAAAAGTCTGCTGCGCTATCTGGGACCCTCGCAGGCCGGCCGGGATCGAACCGGCGCAGCAGAGGCTGTGGACAGCTTCACAGTGCTGCGCTCAACCACCAGCGCCACCAGGGGAGGCCACTCAAGAGTAAATTTCTTAAGTTCTTTGGGCATCTAATGAGTTGATCTCAGATTTCTCCTTTGATTTACCAATACTGTTAGGTGTATTAGCAGAATACCTAATACTGAGTCATACTTGCATTCTTAGTGTTTTATTTTTAAGTATGATTTGGTTATCCTGAGAAGTGATAAAGAACAGGAAGTCTACTAAATCACAACTGCTCTATCTTTGTTTTTATGTTAAGGTTTGTTTCATATTAAAGGTCAATCTTAGGACTAACAAATGAAGGAACTTTATTAATACGTGATAAATTTAAAGTCCACATCAGACTAGCTTTTCAAACAGGGTGAGTCTTCTTGAAACAGAAAATGGTTGTATGTCCAAGTTCACCTCAATTCTGGAGCAGAGAACTGAACACAGTACGCTACTCAATTTCATATGGTCTTGCTGTTCCAGTTTTTAGAATTACTTTTTCTCCCTCTTAAATTTTGAATTAAAATATATGTAATATGTAGTAACTAGTCACAGAATTAAAATATAAGTTATTCCACAAGTTAATATTAAATTGATTTGCAAGGTTTTCAAAATTTTAAATTCAAAATCAAATCCTGGAAGACAGAGGAGGGACTAGAATAAGACCACTTCCTGTTCTCCAGCACTGCTTAATAAAGTGACCAGCTCTCGGGCCTCCCTGGGTGGTGCAGGCGGTTGAGTGCCACACTGTGAGGCTGTCCGCAGCCTCTGCAGCGCCAGTTTGATCCCAGCGGGCCGGTGAGGGTACCACAGAGCCTCTCCTGTCATGCCCAATGCTCCCCTCAGCAGTGTATTTCGTCGGTCTGCCTGCTCTGTTCCCCACTCTGTCTCTGGCGAATCCTCTCACCCTCCCGCGCAGCTAGCCTGTATCCCAGTTCTTGTATAAATAAATCAATAAATCAAAAAAATAAATAACATGAACAGCTCTCCATGCCTAGAATAAACAGTGTTCCTGTTAAATGGAAACATTCCAGGTTACTCTTTGGAGGATACTTTCATCATAAAAAGGTAAAAAAGTAGAGTTGGTTGTATTTCACTGTAAGATTAACTGCAGAATGTAAAAATACCTAGATTTTCTAAAAAGCTATTCCAAAACATCTGCATTATGCTAATTATTAAGATGAGGTCAATGTAACCTTGAACTGCACCCTCCCAAAAGTTTATTATAATCAAGAAAAGTTTTTACTTGTTTTCTTTTTGGAATACTTAAAACTATTACTTCAAAAACTTTCCATTACCTCTTTATGGCAGGATCTATGTATCATCTGAAAAATAATCATCTTATTTTCTGAGCAATTAGAATAGTAATTTGAAACACACAAAAGTAAGACAACTTTTCTGTAACCCCTATGGACTTAGAGTAATAATGGCAATTTATTCACAGGGAGGTTTTAGAAGTTGAACTTCATAAATTATTAGCGAGACTATATGACAGGAAAATTTTAGAGGACCATCAAATTGCGCTGGGAATACACGGTTATGAAACCTGGACATCGATTTTTTGACCGCGCTTTGATAAAAGCAAGCTTTTTAACCAGAGATAATCGTCTCAGCTGTAAAAGTTATAATAATTAATATGTCACAGGTAATAAAAAGTAACATGTTTAAGTCCACATAGTGACACAGATATGTAAGGTGTTTATTAGGAGAAACCACGGTAACAAAAATTTTTGCATTGATTTGTTTAGAACTGGGGGAAGAAGGCTTGTAATATATTGTGTTGAAAATATAAGTTTTGAATTAGAATAGTATTGCAAGGAATACATATTTAAGGAGGTTACCATTGAAGCAATAATTACCCTTCCTAGGGTAAGTACATGGCACTATGGGTAAGTGCTAAGTACCTCCAAGAGCTCCTAAAAGAATCAAGGAAGTACTAGGGGAGAAATCCTGAGAAGTGGTGTCTTGGCAGACTGGAGGAAAAATGAAGAGCTGAGAGTAGAGAATGATGGCTAGGCCCTAGCGAAAAGGAGACCAGGTTGCACAAAAACAGAGAGGGGAGGCAAGAGAATTTGTGGGGAGTGTAAGCAGTTAAGATAGGTTGGGAGTACAGAAGTTGAAGGATATGTTAAGTCTCAGTAGAGAGCCCTTAGACCTAGGTGTCAATCACCTGAATGAATCTTAGGAATGGGCCAACCAGGTTCCGTTCAGGGTAAGCAGGACTTATAACATGCCTACAGTTGCAGTGCTAGGAAAACAGTGGGCGGGCAACCAATATCGTATTCTTTAATCTTCCATTCTATGTCGGCAGACAGCACAGGATTAAGGATGAATGCTAAAAGTTTAACTGTCTAGATAAAACTGCAGCTCTTTACTGACTGGCTCTGGGCAAGAAGAACTGGTCAAACCTCAGAGTTAAGAGATAGGAATATTATCCAACCCAGAGGATAGCAAAAACTTCAATGTCAGTTTTGACAATTGATATATATACAAGGTCACACATCTTTTCCTGCAGTTCTCATTGCGAAACCTCTGAAAATGAAAGAAACTTGCCAAAACTATCCTAAAACTTGGTGACAAGACTTGCCCTGAGGCTGTTTACAATTTCCATTAAGTCACACTTGTATTATGTTGGATGCCCAAATAGTAATGCTGGATCAGGGCATGCAGCTCTGGCGCTAAAGGAGGTGTTACTTCTGTCTATGCATCTTTTTGTTTTTCCAAAATCTAAAGATAAAATCCAGAGATTAATGAATTCCAAAGCTCCTCTTGGAGGGAGGAAAAGAACACTCCTATACGCCCAACTCAAGCTTCTGAGGCCAACTAGTTGTGAACAGGAGGTTCAGAGATGTCACTAGGAAGGAGAGTTTCTATTTCCCCTGCCCCACGAACTGTACAGAACAAAGAACGTCTGAAAGGTTCCTGAAAGCTCCCTTGGCCTGCCATGAGGGTGTGTTTTCAAGAGAGGCCTTTATAACCACCAAAGTGCATCGGTGCATTTCCCTCGCAGTAAACGCTACCCCAGTATCAACTCACCCCCCCCCCGCACCCCAATCAGGTGAGCCTGGTTTGCTGCTCCCACATTAGAATCGTTATCAGGTAAGAGCCCGGGTCCTGGTTTTCAGAGAGGAAAAACGGTTCAGCTATTTCTAAGGCCCCACGGGTAACCCGGGATTTGTGTTACTGCACGAGGGCGCCGCCGGGCTGGGCACCCCTCCCAGCCGCCGTGGCGAGCGCGCCCACCCGGGGTATTTGCCAGCGACTTCTCTAAAATGTACTGGACAAAATGTTGTCACACTGCGGATCTCGATGCGTGCAGGCCGATCTCTCCCCTTTTATTAGACATTAATGCGCGGGGGCGGGGCCGGGCCCAGGCGGGCAGTCCTTCAGGGCCGAACGAACAAAGAGAGTCCGGGATCAACCGGAGCGAACCGGCCTCCGAGCGGGTCTCGCCCGCCCGGGAGAGGGTGGGGGAGGGGCCGGGCCCGCTCCCCGCCCCGCCCCCCAGCCTGGCCTGACGTCAAGCGTGGAGAAACCCCGCGGGCCCGACGTCACTGGTCTCCGACACCTCCCCGGGAGTACGATCGGGGGTGCGCCGCTCCCGGGTGGGGGGGCGGGAGAGGCCCGGGGAAAACGCTCAGCCCGGAGCCCCAGGGAAGACGCCGGGCGCCTCCGCTACCACGCCCGCCTCCCCCTGGGGCGCGCTTCCCCTCCCCACTCCACGACCCCGTCAGAGCCTCACCCGAGCCCGCAGCGAGGTGAGGGGGCGGCGATGGGTCCGAGGACACAGCGCACTGACGAGGAGAGCGGGCGCCGACTGACCGCAGCGAGACGGCGGCGGCAGCACCGGGACCAGCAGCGCGCGGCTCCTCCTGGCGCCGGAACAGGAAGGGCCGAGCGCGGAGCGCGCCGCCCAGCCGGCAACCCCCAACTCCCCGCTCCCGCTCCCGCCCCCAAGCCTCGGGGCCGGGCCGCGCGCGCCCCCTGCAGGCCTTCGGCGGCACCGCGGCCCCCCCGCCCCTCGCGCCGCTGCAGTTGGCGCCGGCGCGCGGGCGAAGCGCTGTGGCCGGTGACGTGCTGAGCCGCGGGACGGAAGTCGCCCCTTGTTGCCTGGGGTGGTCGGGGGCGTGTTCCGGGCTTGCTCGGGTCGCGGCTGGCGGGGTGGGGATGCCGTCGGACTCGCCGACAGGCCCTCGGGTTAAAAGATTGGGGAGAGCTAAAGGAACAGGTTTTTGTGTGCAGGGTGGTCCCTGGGTCAACGCCTCTGCTTTCTACGTACTCATTTTAAAATAAACCTCTAAGTACCTGCTGTGTCGAAAGATTTATAGCCCTGTCCGAAAGAAACCTGCTAGCCGATAATTGTAGATGTCGTAATTATATGGTATATACATGTATTACGTATTTTATATTTAATACCTTAAAAGTATGCTTCCTTGTGTAAACCGTTAGTGGGTCCGCGCATGGACATTTACAATGTATTGTAACGAAGACATTTCTGGGTACCGCCCAGTACTGAGTTCTCATAATGTAAAACCATCAATAGAGGAACTTAATACCGGAGCCTGGGAACGACATTTTTGGATAGGGTCTAAGGAAAATGCCATTAGTGTGAACCGCCCACCCTGCCCTAAGAGGCTGAAGGTGGTGCCTTGTGCAGTTATGAGAAGTTTGAGGCTACATACAAAGGTGCGATGTTTAAAATTTTAATATTCTGTTGCTAGTAGGTATTTTTTGCATTAATTCTAAGTTTTTAATGTTTCCCCAAAAGATTACTTATGTTCATTAGCGTTTAGTTGAAAAAAATTGTGGTCGAGTGATTCACTCCACTGACTCGTCTTGATTTTGTGTGACTGTCTCCAACATTCCCCTGCCACCTCTCAGCTGGTAACTGAGCAAGGTGGTAATTTTAAGAGCTGAATCATTCCTCTCCCGTGTGGGTTTCTACAGGCGGGAACTGACTTCAGATCTAGCTCTTACTTAGACACGTGCTGCCATGTGAAGTGCATCCTACCCAATCCTTCCTTCTAGTTCTTTCACAGAAGTCACACCTACAATGTGGTATGAAGATTCTGCTTCCCTCCCCCTTATAAATCACATGGACATCTAATCATATCTTGTTATCTGTTTATGGAAGACCCACACTGACAGTAGTGTATTTAAAGTTAGAAAATGTGTAAGAATGCAGCTCTAATAAAAATATTTTTCAGAGTAAATTACATGTGTAAGGTAATGATGTATGTTTTAAAAACAAAATGCAAAGTCTTTGGATTTTATATAAGAAATTTAATTAAGAAATGAAAATTTATTCAGAACAATTTATTTGAACTCTCATCCAAGAGGAAACATTTAACTTCAGGATTAGAAATAAAAAAGGAAACAGTCTACTTCTTTTTGGGTTAAGTAGTGGATCATACAAACCTGATTGACAATTAACTGTTTTCAAATATGTATCAAATTCATACTTGGCTTATTTATCCAATTCAAGCAAAGTCAGCATAATTTAAGTAAACCTCCTTGAGTTTTACACTCTCAAGTCTGAAAGCTTAGATTTGATTATAACCATGGCAAAAGTCATTATCTTTACTTCCTGCAAATGTAATCAACTTTTAAAACAACTTAAGCAAACATCAATTTTACATAGACCTTATTAAGGGTAGGAAATTGCAACTGTCCATCTAATTGCAGAATCTAAACCATAAATTCAAATTGTAGAGTTATCTCTAATGTCAAATTAAGCCAAAAAAAAAAAAAAAAGGCCTATTACAGGCTAAAGGAAGTAAATGTGAATCTGCAGAGTTCACTAAGGGGCTAGTTTGAAAATCTATCATCACATTAGTGCTTAACAGTTGTACAGCAATTATTTTCAAGTATGCTCCAAGGGTCACTTCTTCACTGAAGAATTAACCTTAAGAAAGTCAAACAGTAATAGTTATTATCTACATTTTACATGTTTAGGAAATGAAGCAAACAAAGGTTTAGGATTCAGTAATTATTCAAAATTAAAAAGTAAATTAAAAATACTTTGGCTTTATTTGAAATAGAATTCATGTGCCCTAAATCCCTTTCCATTGGGTTATATCCATTAGTCTATATTTCTACTTAGAAGTCAATCTATTATTTTTAAAGTTACCTCCATTTTGTGTCCAGTATCTTAACACATTAGGATAGTTTAGGTAGACTCTTGTAGTGTAGTTCATTTACAGCAGGCCATTAAAAAGAAAAAGACCATTTGTGCTTTCTGTTCATTCTTTAGAAAAATGAAAGTAAAACTGTTAAAACAAAAAATGTAAAGATTTTTTCCAAAGTTGAAACAATAATCTGCTTGACTTAAAATTTTATTCATTTGGACATTTTAAGTTACCTAACAGTTTACATTTAAACATGTTTTCCTTATGTTGTATTCAGGAATGTCTTATAATTAAGTCTACTTTCCTGTGAAATTTACTATCAAAATCAACATATATATAAAACCTATTTGACTCTGATTATAGTTAAACATGACAAAAGATTTCTAATGAAAACTAAGCATAAAGAGCTCGCTCTAGGATTTTGTTTCATAGGAAGGAAGTTCTCTATTACGTGGATCTATAAAATGATCCAAACTTCACAGAGACAGGAAGCTAATAACTTGATTTATCTTAATGGCTTCGGCTCATGAATAAATAATGATTTGCTTTTTTCTTACAATAAGAAATGGAATTTGTGTAATGATACAAGTCCTATTTGCCACATTTGCTTACTGTTTAAAGGATTTCTAATCACCAAGATATTCTTTTTATTATATATATTAATAAGACAAAACTTTAACTGAGTCATTCTTTAACCACAGTTTGCCATTAGCTGGAATTCAGGAAAGCACACAGGTCTGATCACCAAATCAATAAATCTAGTCACAGCCCAACTAAAAGCTTCCTTTAATCTTCTTCCTATTTGGTCTTCCTTTAAATTAAGCCATTCCTTTTATGAATTATTCAGGTGAATGGCATGGTTATAGAAAGATCACATTTGATTCTTCATACAAAGATGCTCAAGGAACCTAAAAAAAAAAACCATTCAGCATATTTCAGAAATTATAGTAGGAATCAAGATGTGGTAGCTTAAAAAAAAAAAATAAAAAAAGAGGGAGGTATGTCCTGAAAGCTTCAAAGAGCAATAGAAAAGTCAAGTTTATTTCCTGATTAGTGCAGGATGATTCCCAAAGCGCAGTTAAGTGTCTGGTCCAGACTAGCTATTAGCAATTAAGCAGTTCCCTTTCATTGTCAAGGCTTTTCCCTGAGGTAATGCCTAAATTCTTAATTTTAATATTTTATCTTGTTTCTTTTAGCCCATCCTCTCTTACCAATAAGCTCTACACATTTTCACCATGCTGAATGCCTTCTCAACTCTGGAATTTATATTTCAAATATTCACAATGTCAAACTTAGACAATTTATATATTTATAACTTCCCACATTGTTCCTCTCAAAACACACCCATTTACTTATATATTCCAATAAATACTTTTTTAATGAGTTAGTTTTTCAATACTGAGTGGTCTTCCAAATGTGTTCTCAGACACTGAGAAAGGGGGTTAGCCTTTCTAAATCCAATTCCATAATAGCTTTAAAGGATTTTTAACTCTTCTTTTTCCTTCACTGTAAACAATTCCCTTTCTCAAGTCTTTATATTTCTACATTCCAGATTTCTTTTCACTGTAGCAAATACCAAAGGAAAAATACAAACCATTTCAGAGTAAATGAATCTCCTCCTTACTCATTTATTAGATCTTCCACTTCAAGGCTGTGTATGGCAGTATTTTGCAAATGTTATTTAATACCTTGAAGTTGAAGTTGAAAAAATAAGAAAGCCACAGAAAATATATCATAAGCAACTAGTCTGTATATATGAAAAGCTACTTAGATCTTGATTGTCATATAAACACTAATTTTTACCATTATAAAAGACAACACAATTATATTTCATTTTTCTTTATAAAATTACTTTTTAACAGAATATTCATAAGTTAGTCATCCCTTAGGTTTTCCTGTACTAATAAAAAGTTATTTTTAAAAGAAAAAATATTTAAAATAATGTTTCACAGAAACAGAAAGTCTTATTATCAAAATCTGATAAAAAACTATAATTAGGGGTAATCTTACCATAATACTAATTTTCTTACACCAAAGATGGATATTTAGGAAGTATTATGTTGTTAAGTGAGATAAACTTCTCAGTGATCTACAAAATTGTCGGAATAAAGATGAGGTAGTATGAGACTTTTCTACTTTTATAAAAGGGAAATCTCATATTTAGAGGATATATTTATCCTGACAGTGGTGTTATATTGAACCTCATTACTGATGAGATGTGCCATTTTAGTAGCTACCTCTCACTGGAGTCAAGACAGTCTTGAGATCACTGAGAAACAAAAAAAAAGCAAAACAATAATAGTAACAGAGACTTCCTTGTTTCAATTTTGTGATCGTGAACAACTTATTTTAAAGTTATTATTGAAAAGAGCCATCTTTGTTAACTCCAGAAGTGCAGGAATGGGAAATAACACTTCAACATAAAAGCAACGATACTCAAGAAACATCTAATTTGGAAATTTGAGGCAAATTTCTTCCAGGTAGAAGCAGTTTACTACAAGAGCTAAATTAGCATCAAAAAATCAATGACTATGATATTAAAAATGCCAATTAGTACAAAGGGGGTAGACAGCTCACCAGAAGAAACAACTGTCCAGGGAATTTATTATCGATTCTTTAAAAAAAGAGGAGTTGGATATCACTCCATTAATCTTTATTATATTGGGCTAATGATGTTTCTAAAAATGCTTCCCTGTTGTTGGGATAGTAAATTTAAAATATTACCCTGGTGCCCAGTGCTGTTCCGTTTGGTATAAGCCATGAAACTCTCAAAATATTTTCCTTCTTTGAAGTCACGATGAAGACATGTTAATTCTGAAGATTAGGAATAATTATTTGAAACTTGAAGATAAAAATCATACTAAGCTTCCTAAATATTGAAATCCATGTTTCTTTCTTGAATCGTTACTCAACTTAAAATACTGAAATACTACTTAGGTACTTTATGGAAAACTGTGGCATCTCCCCAAAGGAAGAGGCACAGAGTTTCTATAAAAGGACTAAGCAGAAGCAACAGTTCATAAGTAAATACAGAAAAAACTCACAGTTGCTTTAGTACATTAGTAACTACTAGTCACTCACAGAGTTATTATTTTTGAAGCTTCAAGTAGGAAAGGAACAATATTTATGTTCTGAAGGTGCTAACTTCCAGGTTGAGACACACATCTACTCAAGAAAAATAACAAGTGACCCTGCCACATTATAGAAAAGGTAATTTCTGCAAAATGTCGTGTTTTCATTTGATTCTTATTGACCAGATCCAATTTAGTAATCCTGCTCTATAGTTAATATTTAAAACAAAAACCCATCAAGTCTGATTTTAAGACATTTTGTTACCTTTTTAAGATCCTTATTAGTAAATTATAAAGGTCAATTACATTAAGTACAATTGTGAATTACAAAACACTTAGCTTTACTGAAGAATTTTAAAACAACTCTGAAGAGAGGGATGGGAAAATTATATTTTATGTATAGAAATGCTAATGGATAGATTAACAACAGAGCATTTTACATGTTGGAAAAGAAACAGGATTAATTTGAAATAAAAGTTTGAAATACAGATTATTCAACTGTGCTTGCAATGCATACCAAGTTTCAAATATCCTTGGATCACTGCATATTACCATTAAGGAAAAAAATTAAGAATACAATCTACATTATAAAAACAAAATCCAAACACCTGGTCAGAAATATCTGTATACCCTTAGTAAGTACAACCTTGTATAATCAGTGTAGCATGAGAAAAATAAACTGATTTGGAAGGAAAATTCAGGGCAGAAGTTTATTTTGGACTTCAACTGCCCTTGTAGAAAAATTCAAAGTGGCATTAAGAAAAATAAAATGTTAAATGAAAATATGCGTGTGTGTGTGTGTGTATATATATATATATATATATATATATATATATATATTCCAATGTTCCTACCTCTTTCTTAGCATTGATCTGGTGCATCAATCCTGAGTACTCTTACTTTTGATTTATAGTGATATTCCTTCAGGTATAATTTCATAGAAGAAGGAATTGGAAGGGCATCAATGCCATCATAAGTTGTACAGTTACAAATCACTGTTCTGCATATATGCTGCAGGGAAAAGGGGAAAGTCCGAATTAAAGGAGTGGATAAAAGTGGCTCGAAGAACATACAGGCACTTGGGTCCTTATAATGTTCCAGGAGCCCAGTAATGTCAGGAGAATGGAAGACACAAGGATCATGTGCATCAAAGCTAAAGTTGTGATTCCACTGCTCAATTCTAGCATGAAGAGAACGACTATAACGTCTAAAACTAACAGAGAATAAATAGTCTTCCTGTGCAGAGTCTCGAAGTAAAAACGTACCCTCTGGCTTTCCTTCTAGTAGAGCTTCAGCTGCATATTTATCCATAACTCCCCAGTAACATGGATTGTTATTGATCTGCAGGAGGTCTGGTACAAGACGGTGGACATAATCAATCTGGGTATGGTATTTAGGTGGTGTTTCCAATTGCAGGATTTCTTCATCCATTTCCCATTTGGGTTTGTTTCTCTTCCTGGAACTTGTGCAGAGTGTTATAATTTCATCATCTGAATCCATATCACTATCTTCTACACTGTTATTTGAAACCAGGTTCATCACAGAGCCAGTCATAGGACTACCCCTACACAGAGTAGTGTTGGTGGTTATGACACAGGGTTGAACATTGGTGTGTGAGAAACAGTTTATTTCTTCTTCCACATTTCTTCTTTGTTTTAGTTGGCCATCCCTTAAGTCACTCTGAGATAAGTCTGTGCTTACCCATTCATCTGAATTGGGATTTATAGGAGCAGTGTGTCGTTTAATAAAATGCCACCTAAAGGCTAAATCGGATCGAGGTGGGAAAGGACACTTATCTAACATGAGTTCACTGATATGAATTTTTCTTTTAGATGGAAGCCCTGAAGAATGTCGACTACTACAATTCTTTATTGGAAAACATTGCCCCACAGCATCTTGTAGTTTCTGTTTAAGAGATCGGCCTAAAAATCTATGCCCACAGGAATGATCTAAATCCAACTCGATGGATGAACAGCTGTGTTTTCTTTCTTGGCTCCTTAAAGGAACTTCAGCTGTCTCTACAGCATTCACCGTTTCAGCATCTGAACAACTTTCACTCTTTTTGGACCAAGATAACTTTTTTCCACTCCACACGTAACCATCCTTTCTATCAGCACTTCTACTCCGACTAGTTTTGGGTCTTACATCTACATTTTTACTATTATTTTCACTATTTTCTGCCATTTTAACAAGTTATCCACAAATTCCAGTGTTACAAATACTGCTTTCTGAATTTTTCTAGCAGGAAGTTTCTTCTGGGCACTTTCTGGATGTATCTACGGAAAAAATAAAAACATTAATCATTTGTTGCTTATATATTTTAACCCCAATTAGAAACAAGATGAAAAAGCATAATTAGTATAGGAAAGAGTACCAAGTATGTTGGAAGGCAGTTCTAAGATATTTTTTCCCATTTAAATAAAATATGCTCACCATATACTAATAACTTCATAGTGGCATGGAATTAAGAATCTGAGTTCCTCTTCCACAGCTGATTTTCAATGTGGATTAGAAAAAGTCAAAACTTCTCAAAGCCAAATTATACATTTGAAGTAGGAATAATTTGTAGTCTTAAGGTACATTTTATTCTGATCTCTTTCTGCCTCTTTTCATTTTTTTAAAAAGATTTATTTATTTATTTATTTATGCATACAAAAGCTAGACAGAGGCCAGAGGTGTGTGTGTGGAGGTGGGGGGAGGGAGGGTAAGAAAGAGGATTCACCAGAGACTGAATCAAGAACAGAACAGGCAGATTGACCGAAGTACACTGCTGAGGGGAGCAGCGGGCGAGTTAGGAGAGGTCTGCTGCACCATGTAGGTAGCTCCCGGGCCAGGGATCGAATTTGTGCTGCAGAAGCTGCGGACAGCTTCATAGGTTGCATCTTGACCCCCTGCGCCACCAGGGAGGCCCTGCCACTTCTTAAGTTTCACAGTAGATCAATAAATTCTTTGCGAGAGAGGAACCTATCTAGTTCCTTTCCCTCTCCTTGCTTTCATTCTGATTGATTGAAAATACAAATAGTTTTAAGTTATGAAAACAGCTAAAAATTTGTTTAAAAAAATCACCACTGAATGGTAGGAATGCCATGCAAGCATTCCCAAATGAATTCATTTCAATAACTGGTTAACTTAACCAGTCTAGGCCGTTTTAAAAAATATATATATAGAATTGGGGGGAAAGTTGGTATGTTACACATACACACCCTTGTATTCTTCTTGAAAAATATGAAAAACAGGGCCTCCCTGGTGGCGCAGGGGTTAAAGTCTCAGTGCTATCAAGCTACTGTCAGCCACTGAGACATGAGTTCGATCCTGGGCCAGGGAGCTGACCCACATGGTACAGCAGACCTCTCCTCTCTCGCCCGCTGCTCCCCTCAGCGGTGTATTTCAGTAGACCTACCTGTTCTACTCCCCATTCTATCTCTGGTGAATCCTCTCATCCCCCCAAACCTCTGGCCTAGACCCCCTGTTCTTGTATGCAGAGGTAAATAAATCTTTTAAAAAAAGAAAAATATGTAAAGCGAATTCCTGTTGGACAATGTCTTTGCTATGAAAAAGGACAGATATACTATAATGTAAAATACTGAGTTTTATTAAGACTTAAAATAATGATCATAGATGGAATTTACTTAACTATTCTTAGGTGGTACAAGATTTAAGCCCAGAACTGGAAGGACAGGTAGTATAATCTCAAATATTTTGCAAATGAAAGTTGAATTTTACAACTTAAAAAAAGAGAAATCATTCTGATTATGAGTAAGTTTCTGATTTTGTCAGAGGAACACAAACAATTCCAATAGTCAAATAAATGCCTAGAGCCACTTGAATTCATTTTCAAAGCAGTAAGATTTGAAACAAGCATCTGGAGTGGCAAATATGATTGGCAAATACCTAAAAGCATGAACTAATGATACAGACTTGCTAGATAAACTACTCCATTTCTAAACATTAAATAGCATCTGGTGATTATACTTATTCTGATTGCGTTTGTTGGTTTATAATAATTAAAAACTCAGAGAAAAATATTATTTAATCTAATTTTGAGAGAAACATCATTTAGTACACCAAAATTATACTCAACAGTATACTCTTGGCTGCTCATTAACTAAATTCCACTGACAAAAATAAGCAAGCAAAATCAACAAAGAAGACTCACTGACAGAAGATACACTTGTTAACTAAGAGTTTATATGTCAACATATTTTTTAAGATTTAAAAAAACTAATGAAGGAGCTTATTTTTGGTTAAGAGCACTGAATTTCATTTTTTTAATGCAGCATGATAATGTGAAAAATATGTCATTTAGGTTTGAACTATCTGGTGCTTTTATTTACTAAAAAAAAAAAAATTAAAATAGGATATTAGGATATTAGCTATATGCCCAAATTTACTCCACTGGTATGAGTTCCCCTGTCTCACCTACTTATACCTCTAAATCCTTCTTCCTCCATCTCTGTCACAGAGCTAAACTCTCTACCTCTGTTCTTTTTTTTTTAAGTAATTTTTCCTTGTTTATTTTATTTTTAAAGATTTTATTTATTTATGAATACAAGAGCTGGGGTACAGGCCAGAGGTGTGAGGGGTGAGAGGATTCACCAGAGACAGAGTGGAGAACAGAACAGGCAGACTGACTGAAATATACTGCTGAGGGGAGCAGCGGGCAAGATAGGAGAGGCTGCGGATTGCTTCATAGTGCGGTGCTTAACCCCTTGCGCCACCAGGGAGGCCCCTCTACCTCTTTTCTTGATCGCATTTCTACCTTTACCAGGTCTCGCTTTAATCTTTCAACTTTTCTGTCTTCAAAAAATAGCCAAGTTCTCCCATAGGATCTTTCAGTGATTCTAATGCTTCCTTTAGCTCTAACTGCAGAATACATGTTTCTAGTCCAGTGCTAACTACAAAGTTTATGAACAAATACAATTTTCAGGAGGATAACTGTTACAAAATAAAAATGGATCAATAGGCCAGATAGAGCTGAAACTCAACAGACCATGAAGCTAAAGAACAATTTGACATCTTCTCCCTGAACTAATTTTTAGCCTTCCTCTACACAAGTTTACATGCTAACTTAACAAGTTTACTTTTGCAGGTATCTTAGGTACAATGAATCAAATGTGTCTAGAGTTTAGTTTAATTGTTCTTAGATGTGCTAATGTTGCAGATGTCCATTAAGTAATGTGAAAGACAGCACAGGCCTAGATACATTTTTCATTCATTTGTTTTCACTTATACAGAAAGTCTTCTAACTGGTTGGTTATCTTTTAATATCTATCACAGAATTATAGCCTTACATAAATTTCACAGAGCTATTCTTTTGCTAGGTAACTGAGTTCATGCTTCAGAAGTCCCACTTTTATATGGGCCAGAATGTCACTTAATGTTGTAGTCTTTAAAGTAGGAAGAACTTTTAGTGTCTATTTAACTTGTCTAATAATTAGAAAAATTAAGATGTACTAGTATTGAATATTTGTTTGACACTCACTGTCAGAAGACTATTTATTTGATGGTATAATGTTCCAAAGGGAATAGCGGGAGTCCCCAAAAGCTAAGGACTTGATGGCCACCCTCTTATTCTTTGTTCATTTTCAGTGTACCTCAACTGTTTGCATGTTGCTAGAATAGATTTGTGGATTATATTAAATAGGAGAATTCTTTAATTTTTAAATTATATTTACTTTAAAAAAGAGAATATGTGTAACACTTTTTAATTACCTTTTCTTGGGAAAACAAGTCAATCTCAGAAGCTATTTAGCAGCTATATTAAGAAATACAAAACAAATCATTTAACTAGTCACTTCATGGTATAGGTAGTATTTTAATAATTATGAGAGGGCCTCCCTGGTGGTGCAGGAGTTAGACTCAGTGCTATCAAGCTATTGCCAGCCACTACAGCATGAGTTTGATCCCCAGCCAAGAAGCTAACCCACATGGCACTGCAGACCTCTCATCTCGTGTGATGCTCCTCTCAACAGTGTATTTCAGTAGATCTGCCTCTTCTGCTCCCCACTCTGTCCCCAGTGAATCCTCTCACCGCACTCTGCCCCCACCCCCGTGTACCTCTGGCCTACACCCCAGTTCTTGTATGCATAAATAAATAAAAGTAAATCTTTTTATTTTTTTAAAGATTTATTTATTTATGCATACAAGCTGGGGTACAGGCCAGAGGTATGGGGGGTGAGAGAATTCACTAGAGACAGAGTGGGGAACAGAACAGGCAGACTGACCAAAGTACACTGCTGAGGGGAGCAGCGAGCGAGACAGGAGAGGTCTACCTCGCCATGTGGGAATCTCCCTGGCCAGCCTGGGATTGAACTCATGCCGCAGAGGGTGCGGATTGCTTCATAGTGCAGTGCTTAACCCCCTGCGCCACCAGGGAGGCCCAAAAGAACTCTTTTTTTAAAAAATTGTGAGAAAGTAACTTTATTTATTTAATTTTGAGATTTATTTATTTATTTATACAAGCACTGGGTACAGTCAGAAGCGCGGGAGGGTGAGAGAATTCACCGAGCCAGAGCAGGGCAGGCAGAAGGACCGAAGTACACTGCTGAGGGGAGCAGCGGGTGGCAGGAGAGGTCTGCGCGCCATGTGGGACCCTCGCCAGCAGCTGGGAAGCGCCCCGGGAGCAGCAGGGGATCGAACCTGCGCTGTAAAGGCTGCGGGCAGCTTCGCAACCCAGTGCTCAACCGCTGCGCCACCGGGGAGACCCCATGAGAAAGTAACTTTTAAAAAAATATATTATGGAGAGAGATCAGAAAAAAGATGCTCAATCTCCTTTACTATTCCATGATTTTGTTACAAAAAGTTATAAAAGCGCATTATGTATCTAAACTCACATTTTCATACTTAAAAATAAGGAAAAAGAATGTCCTAATCTCTTCTAAAAGTTTCACTAAACTAAAATTCTAAAAAAATAAAGTCAATCACAGTGCTCTCAATAAAAACATTGTGTATTTTTAAAGACTACTGAAGGGATTTAAAAAGTGCTTTGGTGTCTCGCCTATAAGTGTAAAATCTGAATATAAGGATTCTGAATCTGAATGAGTCCTTTTGAACAGCCTATTATAATGCTTGGAATTTTATACAAACTGATAAATAATGTAAAAGATTTAAAATAGTAAGTAGCTTTACTACCATTTTTATTAGTGTAGACATCAAAGATGATACTCTGAAACCAAATGACAAGTCAAGATCTTTGTTGATAGCTGTAAGGAAGCTTTTAAAAAAAGGTGAAAGAATCACTTGGGGGTAGGCTGCTTTGCTCTTCATTAAGTAACTTTTTATGATTAGAACTAAATTACATTGCACTGGCGAGTACACAGTGACATTTTATTATTATTGTTGTTGTTATCGCTTAATGAGCAAGAGGCAAAATGTCTAAAAAACAAGTTTACAAGTAAGCATTTGGTCCCAGGTTCTACCACCATTGTAATGACAGCATTATTTAAATAACATTTAGTGAGTTCTATTGAATAAGGCGGTGAAGGTGGTTTTAATTTAAGATTTCTATATAAAACTGTTAAAAAGCCAATAATTAAAGTGTTAAACTTTACCTAGAAATTAAAGTGTTAAACTTTATAGTGTTGGTTAGTAGAGCATTACTGAACATATACATTGCTTATTCATTAAACAACTACTATACCTAAAATGTTGATGCATGTCTAAAAAAAGAATTCATGTAAATACTAGATTAAAATATATTTGATCCTATAAAGGTTAATTAATTATTCCATAAGAATTCAAATAAATTGTTATTCTGGTGGTAATTCAGTCTGGGGGAATTCCTTATCAAATCCATGATTCCAAAGTTTACCTGAAATTATGTGCCCCAAAACTCCTTGAACGCATTCTGATTAGTCTGTGATATTTGAATTGGATTTTGTCATAGTCCAAGATATTTGATCACAGAATGATATTTGAGCTGGATTTTGTGGAAATATTTAGGCTCCACAAAAGGAATATACTGGATAATAGAGGGCAGATGAATTACTTGGAACGTTAAGGGAAGAAATGGATATAAGAAATGGGTTGTTCGTATGAGAAAAATTTCTGACCTTAAAAATGGTTTTGTTTTTTTTTTTTTTTGCATTACAAAAACAATACAGGTTCACTTCCTGCAGGTAATTTAAAGTATCTCCTTTTTTCATGCCACCCTGCTAGGGCTCACTGGACTTAATGTAGATTAAAAAAAAAACCAAAAAAAAAAAAAAAAAAAAAAACCCAGGAATTACTGATTAGTAATTAGTACCACTACATTCTCCTTTACGCCTCACTTTTTTTTCAAATTATAGTTTGCTTATGCCAATGTCCCTCAACCTGTACTGTCGTGGACTTTTGTGCGAAAAGAAGATAAATAGGGGTTTTTTAGGTAAATAGGGGTTTCCTGGTCAAACAAGATAGGGAATCACTTCCCCTGGAAAGATTACAATATATATTTAGCAAAAGATTCCAAGAGGTCTGAAGAAACCTGCTTAGACTGTAGTTTCCTATATTTAATTAACCACAACTCCTTTTTGTGGAACAAATTTGGGGTAAACATGATCTTGGGCTAGCATTAAAATGAGTGCCCACTCCTTGTACATGCTAACTAAAGATAAAGAAAAATACTTAAGAATTTACCACTGAAGGTTAATTTAGAGTGGAGAGAGCAGAAAACTAAGAGCTGGCAGAGCATGGACTTGTGCAAGTAGAAGGACCATCACAGAATCTTAGGAACCAGAATATTTAAGAAAAAGCACTGTGATTCCTTAGGAAAAAAATTAGTTTGGACAGATGTACTTCTTCCTTCCAATTTGTAATTTTTAGTTATAAAAGAAACATATGCTCCTTATAAATACACGAACAGTTAGAAAAGCTTAAAAATGAAGGGGGAAACCCCAACAATTCAATACCCAGATGCAACCAATTTAGACATTTTGGCCTATGAGAGAGGCCACTGAGAACACTGTGGTCTAAAGATAAAATTTTAAAGTTTTAAAGATGTGAAAAAATAAAAAATCTACAGTTTTTCACCCTACCATGTTTAAGCATGGTATAGATGAAACAGCATGAGCTGCAAAAACATCAAACATGGGTTGCAAAAACATCAAACTTTAGACCTTGTCACTAGCTATATCACCTGATTAAAAAAAAATTCATTTAGCTTCAATTTTCCCATTATAAAATCTGGATAATGCCACCTGTTTCATGTTTTTACTACCAAGATTAAAATGTATGAAAATAGAAACATTGAGCTTAATGAAAATACATATTAGCTGCCTTATAGTATTTCACAGAACTTTTCACATAGAAGCTAATTTCTAAAAAAATGAGTTGGGAAAATGGCAAAATAACATATTAAGGAATCAAAAACTCTATTATAAGGCTAGAAAATCTGCATAAAAAATGTACCTTAAACAACATCTGAGGTTAAGGAGGCTTCAACATTTCTGAAATAACAGAGTACTTTATATTTCTCCTAATATTTAATATGCACCTTTAAAAAAAACTTTTAAGTTCTTTAAACCTATTATGGGTGTAAACAATCACAACTTTAATTATAAAAAAAGTATTTTCTAGCAAGTTAACTTAGGAAACATTTCAACAGAAACAGTAGATAGGGGTTTTGCTGTTGTTGTTTTTTAACAGATTTTAGCTTATTTTTTTCAGCCCTCTATAATAATTATGGACTTACATTTAAGTTTAGTTAATGAGTTTTACCTATAAACTAGTAAAAGGTCATGTCAGACTTAAGGTAAAAGGCCTGAGTTCTGTTTCTAGTTCTCACATTTGATAGGAGTATGACCTTGGACAAATCACAATTTTTCACTAATAAAAAGATTATTTATCTGTCCTGCTGTCAATTATGCTATTGATGTGGCAACAAAGAATCAAATATTGGCTGCTTTTAGTCAGGGTAGCTGGGAAGACTGTATTTCCTTTTATAATTTAGGAAGTCTTGACATGAGCAAAAATTATTTACCCCCCAAAATAAACAGGCTGATACTTGCAGAGATATAAAAACCTTCATATTTTAAAACTGGCTTTAGTACTCTGTTTTTCAGTACTCTGTTCTCAATTAATCTTATACTCTCTCAGCCTTATCTTTCATGGAATTAATGATTTTTATATCCGGTACATGTTTTATTGAATAGACATTTTAAACTCCTTCCATAAGGCAATACTGATGGGCCTCTCGATTAATCCTCTATGATTATATAATGTTATTTGTATAGTTAACACTCACTACATCAGGAGACTGGAAACAGATTCATATTTCTCATCCTGGTGTCCTTGAGACCAATGATATTTGTGAAACCAACAATATTTGTAATACTATGACAGATCACAGCAGAGCAAAGCTAACTAACCTTAACTGCAATTGAATCTGTGACCTTTGCTTCATTTTCAGTAAGTTCATTTAGCTAATTACTCCTATTAGACATGCACTGTTAAGATAAATAGATTCATTTGGAAAATTTTGAAAAACAGCTACACGAGTTCCTTTTTTAAAAAGGTATGTTATCTTATTAATCAGACAATTTTGCTAACATTTAAGTTACCACACAGTCATCTTTATATTGTTTGAATGTCTGAGTCCCTAAAAAGATTATGAACTCATTGAAGACATTAAAATTTGCTGGTATTTGACTGAAACCACCAAACGCCCACCCAAAGTACCCCATAAATAACATGAAACATTAATAACAATTTCATACATCCATGAGTATCTCTTACGTAACATTTCAATGGAGCTAGGTATCCTCTCCATTTCAGATATGAGGAATTTTTAGGAAAAAGTAATGAAGAGTCAAAATTCAAACCTAGTGGTGTTCAACTGTAAGGCCCAAGTACTTCCATGATACATGTGAAATTTGTAAAGATAATTTTTTTTTCTTTAATCTATAGCTTGATTGCTAAGGCAAAGTGAAGGAACAGAGGTGGACACCATTCAAAGCTTTAAAGTCACATGGCATTATAGATATTATAGTTACAGCCCTTTTTAGTTATTATTCTTTTTCCAATTTGCAGATTCTTCTTATGCTGAGCTCTGAATAGTACTGCACTGAAATCTCATCATGAATTATTCAACAGAGATGAATGTTATTCGAGTTCAACTTGAACCCCATAGTCTAATCAATGACACTAACTTGGACACCCCCCACCCTCTCATATATACACAAATCAGTCTGCTTTAAAAACGAATTATCGCCAAATACAATCAAGTCACTAAAGAGAATCATCTCTGTTATCTTTTGCTCTTGTGAGAAATCAACAAGGTTGGTTATTTTTCCACAAATCCCAAGTTCTTTTTCAATCAATCTTTCTCTTCATTGTTATACCAAACCTCAGTATCCAGCAAGCCTATCTGAAGCCCTAAGACGCAAAACCATCCCTTATGCAATGACACCTGGTAAGAACAGTAATTTGTGCGTTTCCAACTTTTCACAACGGAACGAGATTGAAAAACAAAGGGGAAATCCCTACAACGGAAAACCAGCTCGTATTTTTGGTCGTACGCCAGGCCTGACTGAGACTAAATAAAAGGTGTGTGCCACAAATATCATTATCAGTGACCGGGTCTACCAACATGGAGAATGTGAAGACACAAGAACAGCATAAACTTAACGGCCAGCACATGAGCACAAATGGCAAGAACCAAATGAAGTATTCAACAATACCCTTCAGTCCTACCTCTTCTTTAAGATCTAAATACGCACTTCAGTGAACTCTAGGTGGGGTCTACACAGGGCAACCCAAGTTATTCTCTTCTCCGGGGATATATGTAAATAATTTCAAAGAATGAGCGTTTTTGTACACGCCATATCTCCAGAGATCAAGAGATTAAGTCTTCCCTCTTTTATCTCCATAGAAATGACAAGGCGAGAGCGCCAAGGATGCCAACATTAAAGGGCTGAGAAGTGCATGGTCTTCCCCTTCTCTAGAGAAGATGTCCCCAAATCGCACTCTTTCTGGGGCCCAAGGGAGGAGCTGGACCCGGACATGGTTGCCTGGGAGGGAAGCCTGGAAGGCAGAAGCAGACCCCGTCTGCCAGGCCAAGCAGTAACCACCCTAACCCTTACTCACCTCCCAGAGCGCATTTTAACTGGGGCTGTCGGAGTAACTGCCGCCATCACCGTCGCTATCGCTCTGGGTTTTCGCTGAGAAGGGAGGCCCAGCCATTCACGCGCTTCAGGTAGTTCCCACGAGGCGGATGTCTTTCAGGATGCCCTCACCCCGCGGCGCAGGGTTCCCGTCTCAGACCGCCTCCACCAGCTTCCCCGACGCTGCCACCACTTCCGTGTTAGGCTCCCTCCCTTTCTTCCTCGCTCCCGCAGCAACCGGCTTTTTAGCTTGAGGCCGGCGCGTTGCTGACGCCACCACCCGGCGACCTGGGTCAGGACCACGGCGGGCGTGGGCGGGCGGGCGCAGGCGCGGTGCGGACAGCACGCCCGAGCGCGGGAAGCGGCGCTGCGCGGGCACTTGCTGCTTCTCTCCTTTTCTCGGTCGCGGAGGCTCTGTCACTCCGTGAGTTTTCAGTCCCTCTGCGGGTGTCCGTGCCGCCCACCGCGAAGCGAGTCCTCTTTCAGGCTCATTGTCTGCCATACTTTTCACTGTGTCTTGTTTGTGCCATTTGGGTGGGCGAAAGGGGACTGTCGAGAGGGTGCCCTGTAGGAGACTGACCGCCCCTTCTTCTTCGACCCCCAGCTTTCCTAGCTTTTGAAATAATACTAGCGTTTATAAAACATTTTCAGGTAGGAAAAGGAAAAGATGCCTGCCACACAGAAGCCGATGAGATACGGACATACAGAGGGACACACAGATGTCTGCTTTGATGAATCTGGAAGGTAAGGTACTTTGAGAAACAAAAAGAACATTTCAAATATAAATGTTAGCACATTTATTGTTACATGTCAAAGAAATAGTCAACCTAAAAGGACTTATCCAGATAGAGAGAAATAAGGTTGAAATCTAAAAAGGTACGATATAATTTCCTTATAATTATTGTTTGAGTCAAACTATTAATGATAATTCGAGTATATCAGAATTAACGAGGATAAAATCTTTCAGTGGATTCGGAAAGGTGAATCTCCCCCCATATTTCCCCTTGGTCATTCTTCTCTAACATTTCTTCAGATCACTATAGCTCCTACTTGTCAAATTTAGTGACTGGTTCTTTTTTTGTGTATTTTTATTACGGTGAATTTCATGGTGTGATTACCCTTTCTTGTTATTTTCAACGATCTGGTGGTCTTTTTTTGACTTTTCTCTGCTTGATTTCTACATGATATTTTCCCAGAGTTATTCTGGTTGTTTTATCTTTCCAAATTCTGTCCCTGTGTAGTACTGTCTAATCATGTGACTTCCACTGCCACTTCAATTTGACCCATTCATCGAAAAACATTTGCATATTTATTCTGCTCCAGCTAGAGATAAACTAGTGCAAGTAAAGCAAAATCCTTTCTATAATTGACCATAAGATCTTTTTAGATTGATACTGAACACAAATAAATGTTCATTAAAAATACACTTAGGTATACTAAATGATGTCTTTAATGATAAGCATATATGAAGGGATGATTATGAAAACAAAATTCCTATGCAAGATTTTCTGGATTTTACTAGAAATTTGTTTTTATCCTAAAAGCAATAGGAAGATATATAAAGACTTGAAGCAGAGAGGAGATATGATCAGACTCTTGAATCATGGAGGATGAAGTAGAAAAGGAGCAGGAGTAGATACATGGAGGCTATTAGGAGGTGTTAGTCTGGTGGAGCATGATGGAAGCTTGTACTGAAGAAGGTGTGGGTGTGGAGAACAGAAGATGTATTCAGGAACTACTTAAAATCAGCAAGATGGATCAGATACCCAGGATGAAGGAGAGGAAGGTGTCAGGGATAAGATATATTTCTGGATATTACATGTGTGAAATTACAGTGCCATTCACTGAATGGAGAAAATACATTTCAGAGGTCGAGTAGGGACTTATGATTATGAGTTTGGATTTGTACATGGTGGTGTAGGATTTCTTACCATACCTAATTAGCGGTGTAGACAATTGAATAAATGTGTCTAAAGTTCAGAGAAGAAATGTAAGCTGGAGATAGAAAAGTACATCTTTACTTGATGCCTCCTGGAATTCGTCATTGAAGTCTTGACTAGAGTTCTAAATGTGGGAAGTTGTCAACATATAAATAACATTTAATGACACAAATTTGCATGAAACCAAGGGAAATCCTGGGAGGGAATGTATATAGTTAACAAAGAAGCTTCAAGCGCTAAGCTCTCGGCACTCCTAAATATTTAGAGATCCAGTGAGAGAAGGAGAAGCCAGCTAAGGAGACTAAGAAGGGTGGCTAGAAAAAAGTAGAAAATCAAGAGACAAGAGGGATATCTACAAGTCAGATGAAGTAAGTATTTTAAGGAGGAAGAACTAAATAAATTAAAATGCTGCTGGTGGATCAAGTTGAAGACTGAGAATTCCCCGTTAGATTAGTGATGTGGAGACCACTGAGTTTTTTATGGAGTGGTAAGAATGAAAGATTTTTTTACAGTGGATGCAAGAAAAGGAGAGGACTAGTTAGGATCATAACCAAAGAATGAGAGTAGTTGGATAGGAGTGTTGGTTGGGAACGGTTGTTGGTTTAAAGAAAGATTACAGCATATATGTGAGTAGAGATGTTTCAATAGAAAGGTGAATTGATGTCATCATAGAAAGAGGGAGAATTGCTTTAGTGATGTTGTGGCATAGGTGAGGGGGCCTAGTATATAGTGCCCAAGGGGGAGAGATTGGCTACATAAAAGCATGGTCAAATTCATAAATGGAGGGAAAGAACACCCAAAAAGGTGGGGAGAACATGTGGACAATTTCTATAGACCACTTCTGTTTTTCTGAGTGAAATAGGAAACAAAGTCATTAGTTGAGTGTAGGGAGGAAGAAGTGGAAATTTGAAGAAAAAAGTGTAGATCTGTGTTAGATGGTTAGAGGGAGGAAACGTTCGATGGATTAGGGAAATGTAGTTGGATTGCTGGGCAGCACTAAAGTCTTACTTCAGCTTGATCATGAATTTGAAGGGAGACCAGATAGCCTGGTTATGTTTTTCTCCAGCTGCATTTAGCTCTGTAAGTGCAAGTTTATTAATTGGTAGAAAACTGTACTTAACCAGGGTTGAGATTTTGTCAGGTAAGCATGACAAAGTGAAAGAAGTGGAAGGGCTTATTTTAAGGGCAATGCAAAGGAGTGATTTTAATGATTGACAATGGAATCTAAATCAGATTAGGTGGGATGTGAAAACTTGAAGGCAGTGAGAAACTATAAAAATGTAGATCCTAATAAAATTAAACAGTTGTTGTAGTTAAGATGTTGGGAGTGTAAGGTGAAAAAATAAGTGATTAGGACGAGTGAAGTTGAGATTACATAGCAATTGATATATTGGTAAAGACAAAATCTAGACTGTGACCATGGGAGTCTGAGATGGGGTGGAGGACAAGATCAGGATTCAGAAAGTTTCAATATCTTTGGGTACTGAAAATAATGATAATTAAAATAACATGGTATTGCGCATTTTTTTCTGAAAAATATATTTCAGTATAGCCTTATTTTTACTTATAAAATTGACTGCAGTTTTCTTCAGAGTTGCATTTTATGGTTAATGAGTTTGGAGACTTTGAATTAAGTCTTTTTATGTTTTTCAGTAAGAAAATAATCTCTTGGGCCTCCCCAGTGGCCTAGGGGTTAAGTCTCAGCGCTATCACCACTATGGCCTCAGTTCCATGAGCAGCCAGGGAGCTAACCCACATATGGCACATCAGACCTCTCCTATCTTGCCCACTGCTTCCCTCAGCAGTGTATTTAAGAAAAATCCACCTGTTCTGCACCCCAGTCTGTCTCTGGTGAATCCTTTCATTCCCCACACCTTTGGCCTATACCCCAGTTGTTCTTCTCAAAAATAAAAAGAAAATGTTCACTTTAGGTTCTCAGGTATCTGGTAAATTCGGAGAATATTCTACTAAATAGAAGAGTCTCAGTTCTTAAAAATTTAACTGAATTAAATGAGTAAATATTTTAGCTTCGTTATTTTTACAGGTTTCTTTCTTTCTTTTTTTTAAAGATTTATTTATACAAGCACTGGGTACAGTCAGAAGCATGGGAGGGTGAGAGAATTCACCAGAGTCAGAGTGGGGAATGGAACAGGCAGACTGACGAAATATACTGCTGAGGGGAGCAACGGGGTGGCAGGAGAGGTCTGCACGCCATGTGGGACCCTTGCTGGCGGCCGGGGATCAAACCAGTGCTGTAGCGGCTGCGTGCAGCTTTGCAGCCCAGTGCTCAACTGCTGCGCCACCAGGGGAGGCCCAGATTTCATTTTTATACCTGAATTCAGAGCACCATTTTTCAATAATAATTTCTTCAATAATTTTAAAGATTAAAAAATGAGTCGTGTAAGTTTCCTCTATATATGATTGCTTTGAATGTTTTATGAATTTAAGCCTACTCCATTTCATCCTGGCACAAAACATAAATTTATACAGTTAAAAAGGAAAATTCCATCAGAAAATTTTCCTACAAATCAAGATATTCCAAAGTGCAATTATAGAATTTCAAAATTAAATCATTCATTGTTTCAACTTTTAATGTACAATTTGTTCAATTTCTACCTTGCTTTTTAGGGGTATATTTTTATGTCTTACTATGCATAAGCTTTGTTTTCATTAATTGTGTTTCAAAGACTTAAGTTGAATGCTTTGATTAAAGATTTCTAAGAGATTTTGAACAAAATGCAACTAAGATTTAGAGAACTTGTTTCCAATAATAATAGTAATACTGTCAGTATAGAACACTGGGAATTTATAAACTCAGTCTTCAAAAGCTCAATAAATAAAATTTATTATTTAAAAAAAACTTTTATAAAAAATAATAAATAAATAAATCTTAAAAAAAAAAAGCTCAACATTAAAAAATATCTAATTGATGATAGGCAACAGAGAAAGCATCTAATGCAAAGGGGAAATATTTTTGTAGCATTTAATATCAATTCATTCCAAAATTTTTGTTCAGTTATAAAATTATCTAAAAATTTGACAATTGTGACTTCTGTTTTGATTAATTATGAATCAGTTATGAATTTGAATTATAATTTCAATACAACTGCATTTTTGTTTTATAGATTTTGTATTATAACTGCAAAAATTAAGAATTTTATCTTTAGCATTGAACTTTTCAAATAAAGTCAAATAGAATTCCCAATAATGTCATGTATTTCATTTTTAACAGAATGAACTCTAGAACTTTTACTTTGTTTTCATGAACTGAAGGGGAGAGGAAACCATTATTGGAATTTGACAGATTTTCTGTTTATCACCTCTGATTA